AATTACTTATTTTCAGTATTAAAAATACTGGATAATAAGTAATTATCAATGATTCTTAGTATGATATTTCTATAAAGATGCACGGTTTCTGCCGCCAATCTGCCGTCAAATCGCTACAAGCTCTGCGCGGTTTTTGTTGCAAATCTGCAGCAATTATCCGACAACAAGCTCTGCCGCATATCTGACGGCAATTTGGCAGCAATATTTGATATAACAGATCCTGCATCAAATTTGTTAACTATTTGCCATCAAAAGTTGATAGCAAGCTCTGCTCGAAATCTGTTCGCGCAGGTTTGGCTATCTAGGCAATCTGCGCGCAGACTGGCCACAGGATCTGTCGAATTCGAACAGGATCTGTCGACAGATCCATAGATATCTGCGTCCCCAATCTGTCAGCAGACTGTTGACAGGATCTGCGAACAGACTCTGACGACAGATTGGCGGCAAATTGCGCGCAGAGCTTGTCGTTTCGTAGGTTCTTCAATTAAATTTTCAGTAGGAAATTTTCTCATAATTTTTTATATTATATTTTATATATTATATTTTATATTATATTTATTTTATATTATATTATATTTTATATTATATTTTATATTATTCATAGAATAAGGGCTTTCTCATAAATACTCGTAAAATACAATGAAAAAAAAAGTTTTTTTATATTATTTTCTCATAATTTTTAAGATTTTCTCTGGTGAGATTCGAACTTGAACCGAAGACATCTTTTGGATAATCGTCCGTCGCCTTAGACACTACGCCAATTCCTCATTTGATAAAAAGTGCTTTGTATGGCCCATTTAAAATTTAAGGAAGAAAAATCTTAGAGTTTGTTCGCCTTTTAAACCGCAAAATATAGATGAAACCATTTACCGTATAAATAATGTAAGAGAGACCGGCACGATAATTCGAAATTAATTTTCTACCAAGGACTATGTAGAAAATTATTGCAATAAAACAGCAGATAATGACATTTTTCCATCATGCTAATAAAATACTGTACTTTTACATGTGCGAATTAATTTGGTCAATCGTCTAGTTCAGATTGTATTATGTTTTATCAAAATCGAAGTATGGTATATTTTCAAATAAACCATCATAAAAATTCTGTAAAAGTTATTTACATAGCGAGACTAATATTTTATTTGGTGCTGCCTTCAATACTTATTGCATGACGGTTAAATCGTTCAGATTTAATGACATAATAACATTAAAAAAAATAATAATATGAGAAATTGTATGAAAAATTATAAAAACAATTTTTACCAGGGATAGCATATGTGCGCCTTTAAATGGCCATTTAACTGTTGCACTCCCAGACAGCACAAAGACGTTTTAAAAACGAATTAAAAACGTATGTACTGGACGTTGTGTATATATTTAAAACGTCCATTTCAGATTCACAAACATTTTTAGAACATTTTAAAAACATCCGTTGTTACTTTTATGGATGTTCAAAAGACATCCGAATTAAGGACCCACCGGATTAAAACTGGACATTCTTAGAACGAAAATAGAATGTTTGTAATTTTGAATATTAAATGTTCCTAACCATCAAAAGAATATTTCAAAGACATTTGAAAAAGCATTTTTAAAAACGTTAAAAATAATGAAATACTCAGACAGCACAAAATATTTATAAAATATTTACAAAATATTTATAAGATTTATTTGAATATTTTATAATTATATTGTTACACTCGCGAGCGCGGGGGAAAGAACTACAACAGTTTTTAAAAAAAAGAAGTAGCCTTTATTCTTTGAGCAGAAAAGAATACGCCGGGAAAACCGTTCTCTCTTAGCCAAAACGTCCGCACGTTGCTGAAGCTGTCAAGAGACTTCCTTTAGCTCTCAAAACAAACAGCACACCGATCGTTGCTAAGGATCACTTGTAAGCCGCGGATTTCAGGAGCGACATGAATACGGCGTCTCGATGCGCAAGCAACACTGCCCCCCTTCTTCTTTTAATTGTCGTCCCGACAATTAGGCGAACATGCCCCTTTTTCTCTATTTTTCGGGAAATTTTTCCTTGTCCTGACCTCAGTTGCTGCAAGTCGCTTTCTGTTTTCTGCTCTCCTCCTCCTTTGTCTTCCGGGAAGTCTTCTTTCGTCCTGATCTCAGCTGTTGTTGCATATCTTCTGAAACTTTTACTTCCCATTTGAAGAAACAGTGAGAGCCTTGCAGAAGATCCATCGAGTCGTCTTCCAATTTCCCAGCTACTTTCTGTTTCCTGCTCTTCTCCTCCTCTGTCTTCCGGGAAGTCTTTTCTTGTCCTGATCTCAGCTGTTGCTGCAGATCCTCTGGAACTTTTATTTCCCATTTAAAGAAACAGTGAGAGCCTTGCAGAAAATCCATCGAGTCGTCTTCCAATTTCCCAGCTACTTTCCTCTTCGCTTTGGATCTTCAGACAAGAGGGGGGGGGAGGGGAATAACTATTTCGGACCTAAAGATTTCCTAAAGGAAATCACTCCAAGTCCCCGCCTTGGTATTTACCCTTCGCTTAAAGCAAAGACCTGCGGGAAAAACCGCAACCAAAAGCCCGCAGGCAAGGTGGACTTCTATGTTGAAACTGAAGATTCTTGGCCAAAACTTGTTTTCACATAACCAACTGCAACAAAATTAACGCAAATAGAAAAAAAAAAATTAATTCTTTCTCACTATAACTTTCTTAAGACTAGGCTCAGATGTAATTCCAAATAAAGATCAAAGAATTAATCCCTTTCATGATAAGAAGCTAATCTATCCTAAATAAACTATTTTATTTCTGTGTCTAAAGGCGTCTAAAGGTTTATTGTGTTCTTCGAATACAATAAACAACATTATTAATCTTTTTTATAACTTCGTACGGACCTTCCCGAAAACTCTGCAATTTAGGAGCTCTTCCTTTACAACGACGGGGATTATACAACTAAACTTTTTGGCCCTCAACAAAAGATAAATTTCTTGCCTTTTGATCATAAAAAGCTTTTACCCTATTGCTTCTTATTGTCATAAATTGCCTAACATATTGATGAATTTGATCTAACTTATTCCGCAAATTAAATACATAATCTCCATCTAACTCAACACAATTAGTCACAGGAGGAGAACCACGTAATAAATCGATAGGTAATTTTAAATACTATCCTAAACATAACTCCGCTGGGGAAAAAAAACCCGTTGCTTCATGTTTTGAAGTTCTATACGCGAGTAAAAAGATTGAAATCCACCGATCCCAATCCTATATGCGTCCCAGCCTCCCTCGAAACGTTTTCTCTCGTGAATACCATATTCGCCCTTTCATCCCGATTCGAAATATTATTGGGGGGACTTAGCTGAGAACAGTGACGACGCTGCGACTCCTCATCACACCGACGATGTACTTCTGCAAATTCTTCTCGCATCCGTGTCCGTTCCTGTCGCATTTCCTCGAACTCACGCAACAACGCTCGGAGATCCTGTTCAGCTTCCCTCGAAGAAGCCCTAATTCTTGTATCCCTTCCGGTTCCGGAAAATGCGACTCTCTTTCCGCGGAAGCCGACACTAAAGATGCTGCCTGACTTCGAGTCCTCACTGCAGAATATACCATTTTTTTTTGTTAAGGCAGAGGAAATGCATTCCGCACACCCCCGGAAAAGACGGGACTTTCCCAGGGGTAGTATGGGATTCTCCCCCTCCGGAACTAACCGCTGGAGGGGGCCTACCCACTAAGACCTCTGCCGGGCCCCTTGCGGCCATCGCGAGGGCGCCCCGGGAACGGCTTGCGCATAACTACCGAGACGCTCTCAGCCGCAGGGTGGGGAAAACTAGAAAACCCCGTCCTTTTTCCGGGCCGGGGGAAACAGCACCCCCGGCCCAAATTTCTCCATTCCTACAAACCGGACCCTCCCGTCCGGTCATACTTCCTTATCTAGGGGTCTGATGGGCCAGATCCGGTCCCGTCCGGATCCGGTCCGCTCCTACGCTCCCGACCGAGGTTTTGAGTGGGAAGGAACATTATGTCCCCCCCAACCCTCCCGGTCAGGAGCCTCCAACCTCGGGGAGAGGAATGAGCGACCTAAGAGCCCGCCCTTGCGAACCGGCCGCCCTGCCCCCCTCCCGGAGGCGCTTGGTTTGACTCCTTGTCACGGGGGGGAAAGGGTGTCGCGCCTTGCGACGTGTCTCCCCCGCCCGACCATGCGCTTCCTATCTCCCCCCCGCCGGGCTCTTTGGCGAACGTCGCCTGAAGGACCCGGCGGCGCTG